CCAACAAAAGTGCTCCGTAAAGGTCACGACCCTCAGCATTGAGGAATACGACGCACGGAGGGATTGTGACTAATCTATGTATGTTTAATTATAATTCTGTTTCATTGATTCTTAATAAGCTAATAAGCGCACCGATGTTAAATGCTATCAACACTTTCACCATAAATACTTTCAATCATAACTGAACAAAATATCCATTTAAATATTTCGTCATGCAGACAAATTTAAATCCAAAAAAATACAAATATATAAATCGGAATAGGTAGATGATGACGAGCTCATGCTTCACCTTTTTTTTTGATAAGACTAAGCAATATTAAGAAAGCTTATAATTGGCCAAAAATGTACATTTGCATTCTCTATGATTTTACCTTACCCTGTACCGAAATTGTAAACTCCTTAACGTTGCTTTTAGAAAACAATCACTGCCACGTGTCACATCGATGGATCGATGTCAATTGCTGGATAATATTTATAAAGAAGGATTTTATTAAAGAGTTCTGAAGCTTAATAAAATAAAAATAAAAAAACACTCCAAATTTAGAACATGCTTTTATTTGTTATTCAATATGTCTTGTAATATTATTTTGGGTTGTTACACTTTCAGGAACATCAAGCGCTGGGAGAGAAGAACATTTCTCCAGAGAAGTTTTATTATAATCTGCAAGTTTAATGTCATATCAAAATCAAAATATTTATCAGTCAAAGAAGTTAGTATACCGGTAATAGTTTTTCATACTAAAAATGCGACTCAACTAAAAAATGTATGTCGAACATTACTAAAAATAAATGAAATAAAAACATGAGACATAAAATAAAGTCTGAATTAAGGTGTGCCCCAAGTTTAGCGATGGTACCCGGTATAACTTAAATACATCTGCTAATAAGATATTAGTGAAATTGATAATCTAGTTATTCGTAAAACATTTTGTTCCACTAAAAACCTTTGTCAACAATATAAATAATTCTATTAATTGAATTTGTGTAACGAACCATAATACAATTATCCAAAGACCAATAGAAATTTGAGAAAAAATATTTTTGCACTTTAACCTCGTGTTTTATATTGTCATTATAACTTGCCATTTTACCTATGAAGTTGCCATTTTAAAATACTGGCTGTTCGGAGCATAATTTATGTATAAATAGCAGTAACTTCTAAATTCAAATGAATTTTATTTTAAAAATATAGAATTCTATTTTCAAACTCAGTTCTTTGTTTAATGTTTAGTTTTTTGTTTTCACTACATTTGTGTTTTTTTTTCATCAACATATGGCACGAAAAAATACAAGACATTAGGCAATACGAGTTCCGTCGCGGTGGTTATACCGCACAAACGACTGACAATATTAATGATATGGACAGAGTAAACACTACAAACGAACGCACGATTTGAACCCTTCCGGCATGGAAAACAAAATTGGTCCAATTGCGTCAAATTAGCAATATAAAAAACTTAATGTAGGTCCCGCATGAACTGATCGATCGCCAGCCAGCTCGACGACGTGAAAGTATGCCTTGCGTCCCTTACTCTGACCGGGTTCTGATAGACCAGATCAGACGTCGGGTGTAAGAGTGCAGGGGAACCGCTTAATGCGGTAGAGCCCTAAAAATACCCTTGAGCACGCGGTCTGCTCCCAGCATCGTCAGTAGATCGTCAAGTCCCACATACCCCGCACGCCCCCTAGTCGCGGGGAACACGTAGGAGGTTCGGCCGCCGCCAGATCGAAAAATAAATAAAAAATGTCTTGCGTTATTTAATAAACAAAAAAGCGATGGAACTTTGAACCATATTGTCACTTACGATGAAAAATGGACTCTTTTTTTTATCAATAGCGATCACCATACCTACCACCATCATCTAGTTCAGCACCCAGGCAATGCCCGAAAGGAATCTTATACTTAAAAAACGGCATTTTATTAACGTGTATCGAGTAAGCGCTTCTCTATAGTAATCTCAACGTTTACTGACCTGTATCTTTGAGACAGTTGTACTCAAGCATGTCACATGAGTCGAGAAACCTTCGGAAGTCGCCCTTGCTGTCTATACCACATTTTCCTACTCCATTATGAACACATGTCTTCGATTCGAAGCATATCTTGAAACAATATTAATAAATATTTTTTTTTTTATTTTTTTTATTGCTTAGATTGGTGGACGAGCTCACAGCCCACATGGTGTGAAGTGGTTACTGGAGCCCATAGACATCCACAACGTAAATGCGCCACCCATCTTTAGATATAATTTCTAAGGTCTCAAGTATAGTTACAACGGCTGCCCCACCCTTCAACAGAAATCGACCTAATTACTTCAGAGTACCACGTAGGGCACCGGTGACTTAGATGGCAGTCTAAGGGTTAAATCTATACTAATATATAAATCTACAATGGTTTCACGGATGTACCGTTATAACTACTGTACCATGCATCCGATTGACTTGAAACTTGGTATCCATGTAGAAAATACATGTACTTAATGGATAGGCTAATATTTATATGAGTGTAGATCAGTACATCAGTTGCGGGGGCGTTAATGATGTGAATCTTTGTGGGGGTGAGAAATAATAATGTCAATTTTAAATGCCCCGCGAAACGGACAGCTATAGCTGGTTAAATTATAAAAGTTTAGTACAAGTTGATTTTTATAACTTACGTTTTTCGATGTTGTAATACCAAAAATTGTTACGTAGATAGCAAAGCCTGCAATCCGGAGACACAATTAAGTAAATAAAAATGACTTTTGGAATATATAATAAGGTAAATTTTATTAAAAAACAAACATTGTTTAAATACATAAAATATCCACCTACCTAAAAAATTTGTTTTCTTATTCATGTCAACTAAAAATAGTTGTCAATTTTAAAACTTCAATCTCGGATAAAATATGTAGTAATACCAAACTCAAATAATGTGCATATACAAATAAAAAAACTCTAATAAAATTTATTATATAAATAACAAAACGAATATTACAACGTCTTACATTACATTAAATTCTTCAGTACATATTTTGTTTCTGAAGTGAAATTCCTGATAACTGTTGAAACGTCATTTATTTCTTGATAATAAAACTACAATAACAATATTATCACTACAGAAATAAATAAAAGATGCGAGAACTGATTTAATACGCTAGATTAATACATGTAGTATTACGACGTTGACAAATCAATAAATAGTTGACCGAAATTTGTTTGCAATTAAATAACAAGATAATGCAAAAAACTACGACACAAATTATGTCGCTCTTATTAACATTAACAAGTATGACAATAATAGAAGTTCAGACGAAAAAAAAAGTGAGTTACTTATCTACGTAATTATAGTCATAATCATTGTTTTAAGAACGAAGTTAAGCTAAATTTTAAAACCTAAAAGGATTAAGGTTTATTTTTAAAAAAATGTGAGAAACTTTTTACCTGCAGCACCTGTATAATTGCAAATTTTAGGTTAATTTTTTACACGTTTACGCGGCCAACCTTGTGTTAAGTGGTAACGAGGCCCATTGACATCAACAAGGTAAATGTCTTATCAACCATCTTGAGACATGGATTCTAAGTCTCTATTCTATAGTACAACGCTGCTCCGCTGTTATACTATAACTATAAACTAAGCACTTTCACAAAACGCCTATACGCGGTTTGCCAATCTATACTCGCATAATCACCTCGTAACGTTTCTTCCCACGAGAAAAATACATTTATAACTCTAGTCCATTTATAGAAAATGTATGTAAGTAAATAATTTAAAAAGCATGCCATTAACATTAAACACATTACCATGTTTTCATACAACCTATCCTGTCTCTGTCGCATTCACGTCTAGCCTTGCTACGTACCGAAACTAGATTATTGAATAAGTTATTGAATAGCTTTAATTTACATGTTTTCCTCGAAGCTACCTTCTTTTTTAAATATTAACACCTTCGCTGCGGAACAGACTCGTATCGGCCCGCCGCATTACTTTTAGCTGGTGCGAACGATTATTTCAGGTGTTTGTAAGGGTTCGACACCGACAACTATCAACTATAAATTATATACACTGTGCTTTCCCATAATTATAGCATTTTAATTTACCTTAGTGCTGATGCGTTAAGACAGGACTTTCACGCACTGGTGGAAACATCTTTGGCCGGCACATTTCGATTCACCGCTGCACCAAATCATGGTTTATGATTTTACTGGCCACAACCAAGGTGTTAAAAAGAAATAACTACAGAATCAGTCACAGTGCATCACAATACAAAATAAACCTTGTTCATTTTCAGATGACATGTGTGGATGCATTTACGTGTGTTCATAGCGCTAAACGCATATGTGGATTAGACTCTAAAAGCCGAGAACTTAGATGGTTTTTGAATAAATGCGATTTACTGGAATTTAATTGTGAATATAAAAGTCGTAAGTTAATCATTTGTAATGCCTGATTAATCAAATTTCGCCCAGAAGATCCGTGTCATTTAGAGGAAAATCACATTTACTGGTTGAAGAAGGCATTGTGAGTCCGCAATCTAACTCTACTGTAAGCAAATTATCCGTTTCTTTTGTAAAAAAATGACAAAAAAAATCCCATATTTCACGGTTGATGATTTCACAAATAATTAGTATCTATAATTAGTTCTTTTACAAGTACTTTGAAATTATCATAACTTTATGTGTATGAGAATTTCCATTAGATCCTTTTTTCAATAATGTAGCTATTTAGATTCAATCGAAGAAAACAAAATTATAATTAAGATAAAATACGGGTCTGAAAAACTAGGATTATAACAATAATAACTTAATTCTTACAATTTCACAGAATTCCAAATAGTGCCAAAGTCCAAATGTAAGAACATACCACAGATATAGTTATTTACATAACAAACATTTCCTAGAGTTAAATACATTTATGGAAGTTTGTTGTTTTCTTAGACAATAGGTGAGTTTGTAAACCCTGATTATAACATGACTACGTAGGATCATTTGACGTGTGGTTACTGAGAGGTTTACTAGGGACAATGGTGTCGAGAAACATGGGTAAATTGGGCAAACATTAAATTACTTGTAAAATTTATGTATTTTGTTTATAGCCAACTAGTCGGTGAATTAAAAGCTTTACTATTTTAAATAAGATAAGCAATAGAAAGAGAAGCGTAGTCCTTTTTTTTGTAGAAACTGCATAAATTGAATTAATGTTTATTCTCGATTCCTTAAATTTGTTGGAATTTTCACTCCTTCCCTTGCGTTTTTTTTTTTAATTCAGTAAGGTAACATTTTTTAATTGTCTTTGAAACTGAAGTTCCTTTCAATTTCAGCAGTATATTCAGTAAGATTTTTTACATTCGTTTTGAATGTATTAGTGATTTTTTTTTATATGTCAATATATTTTTAAAATCATCTACATCTTATTTCTGTTCCTTGCGAATTTTGTCAATTCCATTTACATTTAAAAAGAAAACTATTTTAACTAATTTCCGTATTAATTTAATTATGATGATATTTCAGTTCTATATCTTCTTTGCTTCATTATATTATCTGTCAATTCACACGGACCTCCACAAGAGAGGGATAATGAGGACATAGCGATGGGGCGGAAGGTAAAAAAAGTAATGCTACTTCTTTATTCTACTCTATTTTTCATTCTATACAGTAGAAGCTTTATTATTAATGTAAGTTTTTGGAAAGAAATAAATTTAATTACGTTGTAGATGGGTGCTAAGTGGTGCAACATGGCGAAGGCGTGCAACCACGACCGCGTCCCGATTTGTGGCATAAGTCACGCTGGAGATGTCGTCGGCTTCAGAGATCTATGCGACATGTTCGATTATAACTGCATTAGACGTAGAAGTTCGTATTCCAATTTTTAAATCTTCATGTATTCAATTATAATTTTAATATACACCCAAATCCCTATAGCCCTCAACAGTTTGATCTTTATGATATAACTATTTTATACACCGAATCATAGTTTGAAGAGTTTTTGTTTGAGTTGTTTAGTAAATTAACCATGAAAGCTTAGACTATATTTTTTCAAATCAACTAAGCTCACCTGAGAATTTATAGACACGGTCTTGTCTCTACCATTGTACCCACTCTGAGTTCAAGTAGTGACGCAATAAGTTTCAATATTGTATATTCAACTATGATAAAAATCCCATGTATTGAATAAGGAAACTTAGAGACTGTAATGAAATTAGTTTTTGTTTTTCATTTCAGATTACAGACAAACAGCATGTCCCGAGGACAAATCGATGCTAACTGTCTCCCGTCGTCCAACAAACAGCTATTACGATGACTAATTAAATTCCTGCCCTGTTTTTCTTGAACATTTTCTCTTATGTATACCTTTTATTAACTAGAGTCAACTGTTTTAAGTATGATATATATTACATTTTTTTTTTGAAGTAAAGCTACATATATAAACCAATTTGAAATTTCTTTATTCTACCCATAATGCTATTGTTTTGTCCATCTAATGTATCCACGCTTACAGTATTTATCTTACATCGTCCAAATCTTACCGCTTAAAATTTATACTACTCTGAATAAATCTGTACCTAACAAAGAAATGTCTGTCGACACCATTGCAATCGACAAAGCTTCCTATTTCATTATATGTCAATTCAAAATGATCAGTAATAAACGATAAAGAATTTAAATTGGACACTTCAATATATGGTGACACGGCCTTACTTGGCAAATCAATCTTTCCCATGTGTTAAAAGATAGGTGTTTCTTTTGAAATCAAGATGAAAAGTCACGCAAATTTATTAGTGAAGGCTATTGAAATACGCAGATCAATCTACTAAAAGTAGATCCCTAAAGACCGTTATCACGAACCCTTGATATCAACAGCTTATCTAGTCTGTCCTTCAAGACTGCTGCCTGACAGCTTGACCAAATACATAGTATGGTAGGCAGGCAAAATATTGCAAATCCAATTCTTATTTATATTACTTTATACATATATTTCGCCCATTATCAATAGTTTTTTTTATTTTTTTTTTATTTCCTATATGAGTGGACGAGCTCACAGCCCACCTGGTGTTAAGTGGTTACTGGAGCCCATAGACATCTACAACGTAAATGCGCCACCCACCTTGAGATATAAGTTCTAAGGTCTCATGTTTTAGTTACAACGGCTACCCCACCCTTCCAACCGAAACGCATTACTGCTTCACGGCAGAAATAGGCAGGGCGGTGGTACCCACCCGCGCGGACTCACAAGAGGTCCTACCACCAGTTTAGTAGGTTTACCAATAGTTTTGTAAAAACGTGTTAAGTTCATTACTATTTTGAACTAGTGCCAGTCTCGAAATCACAGTAAGATATAAAAACGATTACTTCCTGATGGAAGTAATCATGTATGATTACATGAGTTTACGGTCCATCTCGAATCAATTTGAGTAATTTGTATTCTATTTATGTTTTTATAATAGATATCAAATTAATAATTTGTTACTACTTATTATAATCTAACAAATTCGCTAAAACCTAGTGCCGTATTGGGTAAATCTAATCCCGACAAACATGTACGCTTAATTGCTTCACTCACTGCGTCACAGATCCGTAGTACGTGGCGGAAAGATTTCAGTGAGGCAGTGATTTTAGGTAGTACGATGACCTCTACTCTGGTTGACTGTGAAATCGCAAAAACGAAATCACGAAATTATCTCAAACAATTCCTCAGAGCACTCCACATTGAGGTACAGAATACTAAGAGAACTAAACTTCCTCTGAAGATCCAGAGGCTCCAAGCAATTCGTGAGCAAAATGTGAAATGGAAGTAGCTAGCATTTGGGATCCTTGACCAAGAGATGGGAGCAGTAAGTACTCCACTCGTGACCGAACCTTTATTTTGTAAAGGGTAATTCTTTGTTAAGGCGTGAAGTAGCACTTCGCTTTATTGAGAACTTCCAACTGCTTAGGAGCTAACTTGACTTTAACTTTCAAATGAGTCCGATACTAAATACCGCTCCAAATATCGACCCCAAGAATCCCAATTATCCTTTAATGTTTCAGGGATACTCCTTGGAATCGCGGTGCCATGACAAAGGCCTCCTCTTTGAGTCACCCCAACCTTGAGTTAGTCTTACCGAGCTATGAACCAAGATTGTTATCAAATGTACGAAATTGTTTACAATACATAAATATCTCCACAATGGACTAACATCCTGTGATTGTTTTCTCTTTTCGAAATCAATATTCATTATTATATGATTCTAGTCGAGCCTGTAGGTAGATACCGTTGTTCGCTTAAATTGGTCGTCAAATGTTGATACGCGAAAGACATTTTCTGTTTCTTTTACTCATATATGTCGATTGTCATATAGTTGGAGATAAAGCTCACTTGGTGAGTGTTGATATTTTATTTTTAAAAAAAAACAGTAAAATTTTGCAAAAAATAGTATATCTATAGTATACTATACTATAAATAGTTGTATTTGAAGGAAACAAGGTTTCCTAAAATTTCCAGATGACAGCAACTCCTTAACTAACTAATAAAATCCTCTCCCCATCACTCAAAAAGAAAATTATAAAATTGGCTGTTGAAGAAAATAGGGTTTTGATTTCAATAAAAGGTAACGAATAAAGGGCCAAAAGGAAAAGTTTTTTAATATTAATGTGATGGCTGTGCTTGTTTCTTGTCGTAAATTGTTAGGAGTAATTTTGGCCATTTTTAACCTTAATTTTGACTCGGTATCAAGTCGATTTCTATATTTCGTTTTATGATGACCAGGTATGATGTTGAAGCAAAGGTTAAAAGGAAATTCACCGCTTCGCGTGAAAATTTGGCACGCAAATTCTTAATCAAGCCACTATTACGTAAAATTTGGGGCGAGCCCGCTACAGTTAAATGGCGATCCCCTAGGGTTTCGCGTACCCCACTTTGAAAAAACGAGGGTCTCGAACGTTAAAAAAAAATAAGGCACCAAAATATATATCCATCCCACTCACACAGTCTTCGTTACGAATAGTATATATTATCTTCTCAATATGTATTTAGTACGAGTATATCGCAATCTCTATTCAAGAACTTTTTTGTCCGATTAGGCTTTCAATGTTTTGCAGCCTGTATATATATATACTCTAACTCGCATTCAACACAAAGCTTGGTACAAAAAAAAATTAACCGTTTTTCGGTGTGTTTCAGACAGAACTTAAAAAAATATGCGAGCATGCGTACGGTTGTTTTCACGACACGATCATAGTCTGTGGTAAATCTGTTAACGAAGCCCGTACATTTTTGGACCTCTGCGATTTGTACGAATACTCCTGTGAATACAGCATGGGTAATGTTGCTCTTTAAAACAACCGTATTAAGTGTACTGATAGCTTCCATGGAGGTTTTTTGGGACCATGCGAATAACCCTGTAGATTTTGTTAGAGTTGGCCAAAAAACTGATACAAACAATGTCAATCTTTATTTTTTCTGTTAAAGAACAACAACTTCGTAAACATAATGATTCTTTTTGAATTTAATAAATATAGTCTTTTTATATCTTTTGTACTTATATTTTGCATTAACTTGACAGTTTTCAGGCACGTCAAAGAAGATGACGGAATTTGTCCAAACCCTAAGGAATTAGGACCGGGAGTGGGTTAAAAGTAACGAAGATATGGATAAAGTATAGCAATGTAATTTATATAAATAATAAAACATCAATCCTGATTTATGTAAATCCCTAACCCAGAATGAAGCACTGACTATATGAAGATACGAAAGCGAAATCGAAAACAGAATGTAATAGTAGTGTTAACATCAAAATTGTCTTAGGAAATAGCAACTGCACGTCTTCATTATTTAAAAAAAATATTTTTGTCATTCTAATGAGATCATATTATTATGTAAAAGATAAAATACATAGTTTAATTTGTACAATAATGTGATGAGTAGCATGTGACATATTTTGTCGAACTTGGCGTAGCTGAAGTTCTCGTCAAATCCACAGATAATATTGGACTTGAGGGATCTTTATCAAACTATTGCGTCCCGACATCACGAGCGCGCTTCATTCGACATGTTTTCTCCATTTGAGCGACGAGACGATTTATAAAAATAAGTTTAGTAGCATTTTTTCTTTTGTGGTTTCATTTTCAATCGTTTCATTTTAGTTTGATGAAAAGACTAAGCTTTCTATAATATCAAGTTTGTTTATTACTCAAAAAACACTTTAACTATTAACAGGTCTGTAACTTATGCAGCTATTTTCCGACGAAAATTTTATCATCCTTTCTCGCAGTAGTAGACTAAATATGATAAGTTGTATATTAGATTTCATGCTCCACTAACCTGTGTCAAAGGTAGGGGATCTGCTTCAACCAAAGTCTTTGGATCTGTCTTGTGATTAATATCATTAATGATTACATTCTTGAAAAGATTTCCGTATTTCGAATAGTTCTTTCCTATTCTCCAAAATATATTTTCATCATCATCTCGGGCTACGAAGTTTCTGCGATTCTCATTTTGATACAGTTTTCCAGGAATTGTTGGCTTATCGAGACTAGAACTAATTTTCTCTATTAATACATCTATTAACTCTTGATTTGCGTGAACATTTTTCATTATTTGTTCCAAGGCCTGTGAATGGTGTAACAATTTTTCCTCTACAAAATCCATAAAATGTCTAATTGATGACTTGTCTCGGTTTCTGATGTTCTGGCAAAGAGCAATCGCTTGGTGAATATTAAACAGCGAATTCACATGTTAAAATAATATTAGCGTAAATCTAAATGGAGTGGAGACCGAAATCCGGTAAATGTAGTGCCCTCAGTCGGGTAATACGATGACTTGCGAAGGGTGGCCTGTAAGAAATGGACGAGGAGAGCAAGACCGTGCTTAGTACTGTAAATTTGGAGAGACTTATGTTCAGTACAGGGCTACTGTGAGCTGATGATGATGATGATGATAATGATAAATTTAAATTAGTGTAGTTAATTGCTTACCGATATGGTCTCTGAGGGATTAAGTAATATTTCTTCAAAATTATGCACTGTTCGATGACTTGATTGTGCTGTCGTGGCAAATAGGATAACTGAAAAGATAAATTACTTGTTTTATCTCTAGTTTCAATTTAATTTGTAGATGGTATTCAAGTTTTGCGGTAGGCAGCGGCTTGGCTCAGCCCCTGGCATTGCTGAAGTCCATGGGCGACGGTAACCACTTACTGTCAGGTGGGCCGTAAGCTCGTCTGCCTACAAGGGCAATAAAAAAAAAAGTATTTTTGTAGCCGGATTTCAGTTGTGCTGCATTGCCAATATATTTTGGTGATGAGTACTTTGTAGCGGTAGCCAACATAGAATTCTTCTACTATAGTAGTATAAGAGACTTTTAATCAAGAATTTAT